TGATTTCCTAATGTAATTTTCCAAGATATTAAAGACCATAATGCAAAAAAACTAAATTTATTAAAAGTAATAGGCTTTATGTTTCTTAAACTACCTACATTTGTCAAAGTATTTATGAATTTTCGAAAATATTCGTCCATTAGTTTTATTGTTGGAATGAAATATAGCAAGACTTGCATTGCCTACTAAGAAAGTTAGTAGCCGGTAGTCATCGGGTTAAATATACTTTCTGAAGTGTTGGACCTATATTGAAATTTGAATTGTTCTGGGGAAGTATTACAGTATATTTTTTAACTCATTAACTTTGTTTTATATTTTTATAAACTGAAATAACATTGTAACTTTTATAAATATTCCTGAACATATTCACAAAGTATACAAGCTACCATATTTTTTACATTTTGAAACATTATTGAACATACACTGCAGAAAAGGTTTAACTTATTTAATTTTTAGATTAAAGATCAGAAACTGGTTTGCTTACTTTATAAAGTTCTTGTACCATATGTGGAGGGATGAGAAAGTCTGCCAATCCAGAGATAAATAAAGTGGGAAGTTGTACTTTTTTTATTTTCTCTTTAGACTGAAACTAAAATATGAACAAAGAAAAGGTATTTCAACTCAAGCGAGCAAATGTCCAATAACTCTCAAGAACTCTAAGATTTCATAACTGTATTAGAGCTTTGAGAATTTTTTCTTTTGTAAAATTAGTAAAAAACACTATAGTATGTCATCAGTTGTAAAGTGGGCCTACAAAGAGTTAAGATTTTTTATAAATGATTTAATATAGTTAAATTTTTTTGTAGTTTGTGCACAAAATATTAGATAAATGAACAGTTTCTATATTACCAGTATTTTAATACTCAAACTGAAATGATAAATGTTTAAAAAAGTTAACATTTTCCTAAATTGAAAATGTATTTCCAATAATACCTCCATCCACTGGCACTTATAGCTATTACTTGACTGCCAGGGTTTCAATCTTTGCCCATCTAAGCATTGGTCTGATTTTTTCTCACTTGCTCATCTTTTATACCCCACACAATTGCCCTTGGCGATATATTCTCCACCTATGTCAATGTGCCCTCTATCCTGGTACTGTATATAATCACCTCATTCAGGTAATTTTATCCTTTTTTGAGACTGATACCCTCCCAGTCTCTAACACCGGCTTTTAGTGGGGAGGAAGGGTGGGAGAGTGTCAGCAGAAGTAAGTATTAGTGGAAATACATTTTCAATTTCAGAAAATGTTAACTTTCAAAATATACTTATAGCTAGAATCCCACATTGAGAAGGTGGAGGGGCCAGTGAGGCCATTATTCATACAGAAAACATCAGCATAGATCAGGAGTGTACCAAGATCAGAGTGGTACCCAAGTGGAGGAACCACACTACATCTATAACAGGTAAGCTCTTCACCCTGAACTTAGTTCCTGTATCAAGGATGGAATAGTACATGAGTAATCATCATTATAGGCCAGCCCCAACCAGAAAAAATCAGACTAATGCATAGATGGGCAAAGATTGAAACCCTGGTGGTCGAGTAATAGCTATAAGTGGCAGCAGAGGTAAGTGTGTTTTGGAAATTACAGTTTTTGTATTCATTTGCTTACATTAGGGGAACCAGAGTTTTGCAAACTGCATGCAGCTCTATAGTGGTTGCTGTGTGGTTCTGTGAGTGTTTGTAATTTTTGGTGTGGCAATACTTATTTTGCTTAGTTTTATTTATCTTCAATGACAAAACAGCACAGCTAATCAACCACGTCAATGTTGGACAGTTCTACTAATGTAATTAAATTCAGAAGACAAAATAACAATAAGAACCTTACTTTTACACGCTAGTATTCTGAAAGTTCTAACTCCTTATTTGTTGAAAATTGTATCTTTTGGATCTCATGCCTTAAAACGTTGGCCATACTTGATCAAACTATCTGTTTTTATGTAAACAGTTAAATTTCATTAAAAGATACTCATTCTTTAATGGAAGCTATGTACAGTAAGTATAAGACTTTTACAAAAAACATAAAGTACAATGAACTATATGACAGGTAATAACCATGATACAATACCTGATTTTTAAAAAACCATGTGGGAATACATTTTACAATCCTCCAATTAAACAGCACCCGTCCAATGTCAGGGATACTGGTGAAAGTGTTCTCCAGGACTAAAGCCATTATATGTTTATTGTACTCAGGACGGCTTGCCAAATCTACTGCAACTGCTCCTCCAAGAGACCGTCCAAATACAATGATCTTGGATCGGTCTATTCCAGGATATTGAAGTAGAAACTCTAATCCTGCTTGAGAATCGTAATACAGCCCTGAAAAATCATAAGCGTAAAAATATGTACAAGTCTGTTACACACAGTTCAACCATAAAATATTGATAAACCAGTCAAAAACATTTCTAATGGTTCTTTTTTACACAGCTCATTATTTTTGACAGTTATACCTGTATATGTACTGGATAACTATCATTGGATATTGAGCAGCCTTATCATACACCTTCTGTTTTTACTGGTACCATCTTGTGTTTACTCCTTGTTATCTCATAAGTCATCCTGAGTCAAATTTGAATTAAACCAATTTCAAAAGTTAATGTCTTACATTTGATGATAAATAAACAAACTTAGCTGCAGTAAATAAAAATTGCTTGTTCCCCATTATTTTATTCAAGATATGTAATACAGGGTTTGTATGCTATTTTTCCAAGTGAAATCAATGACTTTCAAACACAAACACTTTCTATAACCAAATGCATTATCATTTCCAAGACTAGAAAACAAAGTACCTTGTTACAATCCATAAGCCTTAAAAACCAATAGGCCTAATATTTGTGATACAAAACATGAAACTGGATCGGAATGACCATACAGGGAAGAAAGAGGAATCAAATTTTAGAGCAATGAGGGAAGAAAATGAACATATCTCTGCTGTAAATAGTGTGAGAGGAAACGAAGAAAAAATTAGTTGTGGTTCGTGCAAGAGAGAAGAGGAAGAAATATGTCTGAAGCATTTAAAAGGAGGATAAACCACACCAGACATAGAGCATCTTCAGCCAGAGCTGTAGAGTTTTGGATTAGATTCCAAATCAGAGGAAGCGAGGAGCATAGCAACCACTCTGTGGAAAGGATCCAAACCTGTATGTGATAGTCGATCCATCACCAAGGCCTGAACTTATGAGATAATATAAAACAACAACTGAATGTGGCAGTCATGGGTCCAAAAGAAAAAGTCCAGAGTCAGAAAACAGGGGTCCTGGGAGTGAGTGCTCTCTCTGTCAGGAAAGGAAGAAACAAAAAAGGAGATGTCTGAATGGATTATGATAAGAAGATGATGTCAAGCCTGCAGATAACAAAGAAACCTCATTATTGGAAACTGGATACTGGAAATAGAACAGACATCCAGAACTGTACCCCCACCAGAACAAAACCAGTGGAAAGGTATGATCATAGGATTGGTTATTGTCAAGCACAAAGTACCACCTGTGTTCTCCATAGATATGGAAACCTTCATATCTAAGTGGAAGGATTCCTCAGACTGACTTCTGAGATAAGACAGGAAAAGCACTGAGAGAGGTGAAAAAAAGACATGTATCTATGGAGATATCTGTATTACAGGCCAAAAACCATTGAAAAAGATACATATAGACACATCCAAGAGGAACAAGGGACTCAAGAGAAAAAAAGTATTCAAAAATAGTAATGGAGGAAATGAATGAGACTTGAGAGTCCTGGTATCAAAAAGCCTTATGTCGCAAAAACAAAGAAGTAGGCCGAGCCTGCTCCACATATAAAATGAGAGAGACACCAAGTGAATAAAATACAGGGTGAGGGTCGAGACTGAAATATAGAGCCAAAACAGCCACCACAAAGAAAACACCCCTCAAAGAAAAAGCGTGGTTACAACAAAGGAAGCAATGTTAGAAGGAGCAACTAGAGGTGAAATGTCCGTAGAATAGTGGAACAATAATCCTCAAGGATGTAACTTCTGAGTAAAGCCTCTTCAGATCCAAGGAAAAAAGATGGGACCATAGCTAACTCATAGGGAAGAACTAAGAATCAAATGTTTAACCACTGCTGTTGAATCAAAGCAAAAGGCAGGCAGATAAATAAAAAAAACCAAATCATCCACTACTGGATAAAGTGAGAAAACTGCCCAATGGGAACCAAAGAAAGACCGAATTTAGGTCAAGTGGATGACCTTCTATCTTTCTAGGAACAATAAAAAGATGGGAGTAAAACCCCAAAATGTGGTTAAGGAACTGTCCCATGGCATTTGAAACAAGTAAGGTATAGTGCAGAAGTACAAGAAAAATCTTCAAGAAAGCACCTGAGGAATTAAATAGGCTTTAGAAAAGGGAATTTACCAGTAGACAAAGTGAGAGATCAGAGCCCTGACAGGACTGGAGCTAAGAGGTGGCTCCATAAACACATTGCTTCCAAGATCTATGACAGCTAGCATGAAGGACTATGGATAGTAACAAGATGACAAAGAGAAAAGTGAGTGACCTCACAAGGATGTATACAATGAGAAATATGGTGCCCCCCCCCTTGTCCCAAGGACAACAAACTAAAATTAGAAGAGATAATTGCTGAAGAACTGCATTAACTCAAGATGCCAATGTATAGGAAATATCACCAAAGAAATACATCACAAAAGACAGGTGTGATACAGAGGTTATGGAAAGAAGATAGACCATAAATAAAACAAATAGGAAGAAAACCAAGGGCAAGATGAGCATGTGCACCCACAGGAAGGGGCAAAGGGGGTCACTTGACTTCCCCTGGATTTTCAAAAAGAAAAAAAAGACTAAATATGTAAAATTATTCTTACATGTTATTGGAAAGTCATAAGGTATTTATAATTACAGGGGTATTAACAATAGTATGATTAGTATCTAAATTATTTTTATTTCTCGTTGATACATTAATTTAGAAGATATTTTAATTGAATCATAGTTTTACATTTATTCAGCCTGTACCAGAAAAATGGTGACTTACAGTCTTCCATAGAAGAAAATTATTTCAATTTCATAATTTTTTCAAACTTGAGTTACTTGACCCTCCCTTAATTTGTTTTCTGCGGGCACCCTTTAATATGAGTATGTGCAAGTTGCCCCAGTAAAGCTGACAGGGTCATGATTGAAAGCTTCCAAATAAGTTGAAGCATAAGAGTGATCAAAGAAGTTGAGTAAGAGATGAAGATGAACAGATAGATAAAAAGAAAATCGAAGGAGAAGAGGATCCCTGAAGTGAAAGAAAGATTCAAATGAAAGAGGCTCATGCATCAAGGACATACAAGATTCAGCATAATGTTAATGGAGAAAGAGAAGACAAACAACACATACCTGCAGAATCCATACAGTGAAGGAAAAATGTGGGATTAACTTATCCACATTGGGAAGAGGAAACAATAAGCACAAACAGGCATGGAAATAACAGTGATGAAACACTTACAAGACAGGGCAGGCTTAATTGAAGTAACAGAAGTAAGAGGTTAAAAATCCTGTCTGAGGTCAGAAAAGAACCAATCACATAGTGCACAGTAGCAGTAATATCACTTACTGTCAGAGTGTTTCCAGTGGCCATTACAGTATTGGATGACTGCTGTAAAAGAATGTTAAAAACCTCATAAACATGGGAACGTGTATGCATAATCCAGTTAATCCACAAAACTGATGTTGTGTTGGTCCATTTTTGTAAAATATGTAAAACAATTTTTTTGGTTTTGTTATTAGTTAGGAAGAAAATGAGCCAGGTATAGCAATGGTGCATAGGTTTAATAACAACCTTGAAGAGTACTCGACAAAACCAGTATGTTAGATTAAACAATTGTAACAGACAATGGAATATGTGTCCCAAAAGTCAAAATTGATGAAAATAAAATTAAATTGAATATAATTCAAAGGAAAGCTCTAACTGATTAGTTTAAAATTTAGTATTGTTCTTTCAAATAATAAAGAAAATTACAGAAAGAAAGACTATATAACGAATAGTAACAAAAAGTTAAAACAATAAGCCCCAAAACTCTAGTAAACTTTATGAAAAAAACACATCTGAAGACAAGCAGTGATGAGGAAGAATAAGTCTTTGTTCAAATGCTAGTTCTCATCAAGAATGTGTTGTCTTCCTGTGGTACAAGGCTATAGTCTAATGATGATATTATTGACCGGCACGATACACTTTTATACATGTATGGAGGGAGCATTTTCAAAGGCTTGTAGCATCTGTATGAATTTATATGACAATGTGGTGCTTTTTGTGGTGCTGAGAGGTGAAACTGGAGTTATATCAACTTTTATTAATTTTGATTTGCTAATAAATGTAAGTCAAGCTCAAAAAACTGACTTACACAGTCTAATTATTATGGCACACTGTTAATAAGCAACTACTTATTACACAAAGTGAAAATGAATAAACTTCTGTATCTACTTTTGATATTTTGTGCATGCCATTAGTCTTGAGCTATCTCCTACCTCTACCTAAGACACGTGATGTATGACTGTCCCAATAGGAGGACAATTCATCCTCCATATGTAGTAGGTACCCATAAAAACTTGCAGTGAAAATTAACTTCATTATTAAACAAAGCAACACAAAAAATGTGCACTAGAAGTGGGGAAGACAGGTGGAAATGTGTGAGAGGTGAGTATCTATCATAGATACATTTTCAGATGAGAAAAACGTTAACTTCCGTGATGATAACTCCCCTCTACACACAGAAATGCTAGAATCCTACAATGAAATGGTAGAGAGGACACTGCAAAGTTTTTGAAAGCTAGATGAGCTCCTTCAGAAAGCACTCAAGCCCATAGAGTGTTGCAGGGATGTGTAGAATGAGAACATGACCATTTGAGCACTTGCACACAAATGGTCAGCAAGCCAATATGTGTAGTGTGGTTAGGGTGCAATCAGACCATACAATGTGTGCTCACCTCGACTCTAATGAACAGACTTTGGCTGCAGGAGGAGGGAACATTACCAATGTGCTATATTTGTAACAAGTGACTCGTACTACATTGACAGTATCACCACTGCCTCTCACCATATTGCACTAAACCCAACCAGAGAGGATTTGCTACCCTAGTGGCCCATGCTCCACTCGAAGAAAAAAAAAAGGGGGAAGAATTCCTATTGGGGAGACCCAGAGAAGTCTCTGGATTCCATCAGACCTCCAGCTTGAAAGGTCTTTTACTGAAGACAGTGCAATGGGTGACTGCAAATCCCGATTTTTAAAAGCTTGCAAGTTCTGGCTTTTTCCATGATAGTTCATGGAATTGATATGGTCTGGACTGGACAATTGAGTAAATATGCATACAATGTGGATACCTCAAGCAGTCTTGTGGAACAACCCATCCTGCAGTGAACACTGGTAGAGTCAAGACAGATGGTATGAGTGCCTTTTATTATTTTAGTTCAATGCAGATTTTGAGAAATAAACATACCCTGGGAGGCAACACCAGCCATCTGGTGAGGTCCTGAATGATGAAAAATGGGAGAAAGGAAAATTAAACAAGCTTACCTATCTCAAAGATGATGGGATAATTGAAGAATGGCAACTGGGGGAGGATCTCATCCAAATTCCAGTAAAAAATGGAAGCAGAAGATGATTCGGGTGACAAATTTTATGTGAAGAAATGTGGAATAGTCTGCAAGCATCCATGTGAGAAGAAAAAGGAATTAAGTCTTGAGAGAAAGGTAGTACATAGAGCAAGAAGCCAGTGGATCAAATGGGACATTTGTGAGAGCATAAAAAACCACATAAAGGTTCCAGTCAGGACAGGAGGTTGGTGAAGACAAAAGCAGCAGAACATAGTGGAGAAGACAGTGGATGAAAACACCCTGTGGAACCGGGTAAGGTGAAATGTAGTGGACAAGGCCACCCAATAATCAGCAATGGTGGAGACCAACAAACCATGGTTGAATAGCTAGGTAAAAAAAGGCAGAAAGGTGTGTTCACAGTAGGATGGTCAGGAGAAAATGAGTGGCATATGGATCAACTATGAAAGACCCACCGCTGTCATTGACAGACATATTGGAAGGGTGACAGAAATGTGACATGAAGAATGCTACACAATCAGAGAATCCAGCCCAATGGACAACATGTTCGACAAATCCCATATGAGAAAATGGAGGGATAATATCCCTTGATAAAAAAAAGGCACATGAGGTTAAAACATTAGATAGGGTACATTGGGTAGGGAAGGGGGGGAGTCTGAAGCCAAGAAAAGAAGCAAATGAAACCAAGCTTGAGCTAGCCTAAGAGATGCTATCAGTGGGACCCAACAGGGAGTGTTGTGCATCAAGGCAAGGACCCAAGAGAGGAGAAAATGAGTGGGTGGAAAGAGCCAAACTCATGGTTGGGTTCAGGAAAAGAGGAATGCCCTCCCAACAAAGGAATAGGGAGGTGAAGCACTGAAGACAATAATAAATCAGCAACACAATGAACAATGATAGTAATGTTCCTCAAAGTCAATGAGCTTATACTGACCACAGATAAAGTAGGGTCAGTATTAGCTACATCTCCAGAACCTCAGGAGAAGTTAGTAGTCATCATAACTTGAGAATTCATTGTGATTAAAGGAATTCTCCAGACTTTGCTTTCTTTTGTATGCAGTATTTAAAGGTGATGTATGTTGAACTCAAATACGAAATAAAAGAGAGGCAAATGGACAAAAAAAAAAGTAATAAAAACAACCAAATTTCACTACACTGAACACGATTAAACTTCAAGAGAATGACTGTTCACAACATTGTGGAGGAAAAGAATGAAGTTAATTTCAAGTGCAATTGTTTATGGGGATCTACTGTAAATGGAGGAATTGTCACCTTGCTACTGGTGGATAGCTATGGTTGCATGAAGATTACATCATATACATCACATATTAAAACATATCTTAGATGGGAGATAGTCAAGGCTCATGGTATGTGCAAAACCTCAAAGGCAAGAAATAGCTATTCTGTGCAGAAAGATAAGGATATTTTTTGGAATCACATACTCCACCACATTGGCAAAAAACCAGTGCATTTGAGTGATATCTTGATGCATTTACACTATCCTTTACAACCTTTCTTTTTTTTGCAAGTGCAGTGAAACAGTTGGAAACATGCCTGCATAGCATATTGAATAGTTGTCCACCATATATCCCAGCTACCTGTTCTCAAGTTTTCAATTAAAAAATATATGATAATGACTTTCCATAACCATTTAACAAAAGGTCAATTTTCCAGGTTTTCAAGCACTCATATGAAACTTAGCAATTGCATGAAAATATTTTATTTGCTGTGGGATCTGTTATAACTGGATGTGGGAATAACTTGGTGAATTATAACTCATGCAGAAGATTAAAAATGGCCCAAGGTTGATCATTTCTTTCATATTCCTCTGGTAATTAAAGATTTACTGTCACAAGATACTGTTTGTTAGTAATAACATTTATGGATTTAAGTTTGAATTCTCATATTAATAACCATTATTTTAAAAAATTAACATGCCATTGCTGTTCATGGCAATTAACAGCATCACAGAAATTAAATGTTGAACATATACTGTACAATTTATATACATTTCTTCATGCTATGTATATAATTTGTCAAACTGTATGTATTTACTATAGTGTTTACTTGAGTCACGTATTAAACATTCATTTGAGTATACTTCTATATAAGGATAGAGCAAGTACACACAGCTTTAACTGGTAAAGTTTATTTTATAAAACTTCTTGCTAAGTTGTTCACTTTAAAATCCTTCTCTGATACTTTCATCAATATTACAGAAGTTCTGAAAGTGCAAGTATTTCTAAATTAGCTTCAAATACACACATAATGATTATAAATATGATAAAATTCTGCTTTAGTTTCTTCTACCTTCTTCACTAGGAGTTCCATCACTGTGGCCATATCCTCTGTACTCCACAAGTAACACATTACACCCACAGGAATGATATAAACCTCGTACATTGGCTAACCTATTGGAGGCAAATACATGGTCTAACTCACAATAGTTAATTCAAGTAGAGTTATGGCTTTAATGGATAATGCTCCTGCTTGTTTTAGCTTCTATAATGAAACTCAGACCTTCTTTAGGTTGAAGACTTCAAGCAAAAGAAGACTCAATACAGAAGCCAAATTGCTGTCCCACCTCAGAAACATCAGGAGAATTCCATTAAAGCCAAAACTCTACCATGTCAACACTGCATAAAATACCCTTGAAACAACACTTAACTCAGACTATAATTCTGTTTTGATCTACCTTCTTAGAAATTTATGAAAAGCAAAACCTAGATACTTTTGTAAACTTCATTATACTTTCCTTTTAAATCTTGTATATGCACACATAGGTGGTAAACATATAAAACAGACATGAGAAAAACAGAAGACTAAAATGGATAAGGCACAGAAACATCTATTAAAGTAAGTAGATTTAACTAATATTTGGTCTATTTTATAAATGTTAATGCAAACTCCTATTTTGGAAATTTTTGGTAGCCTCAACCTCTGCCTTGGTGAAAAAAAAATTTAAAACTAATCTCCAAATAAAAATACTTTTCTTTAGAGCCAGTGTTACTCAGGCACTTTCATGCAATTTAATGCAGAATCATACTACATCAAAATTTTTTTTGCCATATTCTCTAACATATATTGAAAGAATATTGTATTTTGTTTCAGTTAACCAAAATATGACAGGTACACTAGTCATCATATCTTAAAAGTCAGAATAGAAAGAAATCCTGAGCACCAATAACACACTATACGAAAACAAAAATTTAAACTTTATATGCATACATACAACTGAATTTGAATGGCATAATTTCACTCAATACATTTATCAGTCCTCAAAGTGCAAAGTTGTTTTAATATCATTCACTACTGGTGAAGTCAACATTTTCCATAAGAGAGAGGAATTTTACATATTTGCATGTATAAAGAACTAACCAAAAATTTAAGAAATGACTCATTTTCCACTTAAGATACATACAAAATCTCAGCAGTAATCAGTTAAATTAATCACAATATTGATGGTATTTTGTTTAAATTTCTTTGTGCTCTTCATATGTTATTTTTCTCTCTTGAACTGCTAACTAGAGGGAAGACAACAGGCTGGCAGCACCTGCCACCAACTGTTTTTTTCCTCTTTTGAACTGTTAACTAGAGGTAAGGCAACTGGCTGGCAGCACCTGCAACCAACTGTTTTTATTCCTCTCTTGAACTGTTAACTAGAGGTAAGGCAACTGGCTGGCAGCACTTTTTGTTTTGTTTTTTTCACTTATATGTATTATAGTTTGATGACCTGTGTGCTAATTAATTAATGGGGCTTCCAATTAAATAATTAGCAAATACCACCAATTGCCAAGCTCTAAACATGGGTAGTGATTTTGATTTGAAACCACAAATAAGTGTATAATAGAGGCAAGGCAACAAGTAATAAAAAGCCACACTCATGCCACAGATGAGCAAAGTGTCAGAACCTATGTCTGTTCCACAAACTGCCATGACACTATTAAATATAAAAGATCTAGTTCAAAAGTAACTAAGTATTTGAGCACAAACCATATTTACTGTGCAAGACTGTGCCAAAACTGGACAAAAAAAATAAATTACACGGGTGCACACACAAATACACAATTTCAGGTTTTGTACATACATGGTCATGAAAAGTTGGCACAATAATATTTACTAAACTCAGAGTGATACTTAGGAACTGAAGACATTATCCACTGATCTTCATTTAATCCACCGACATAAATGTAATTTGGTTATGGCCAATAATTAATTGAATTAAGTTAAATATTCTATATTATTGTATGTGTAATCTGGTATCTAATATTAGAAAATTACATAAGAATCTCTTGAATATGACAACCTTATAAGTGATCTTATGTATTCTGCTTTCAGTAACAACTGACCTAATAAGCATTTTAAGCAAGCTTATGATGGTGGTTTTGGCATCCTTTTTAGTACATCAATGTCTAATAACATTTGTATGTGTGAGAAAAGGCACAGAAATTAATAACTCTAACTTTGTTTTTGTATGGAACAAAATTTCCCATTTTATACTATGTCAGAAGTTATAGTTTCTATACTGAAAATGTATTTCCAATAGGTACTTATCTTCGCTCATATAAATAGCTATTCTCTTTCAGTGCTGCCCACTATATAAAATAATTTTTTTACACATGTCACAAGTCTTGAAACTCCCACCCATCTGGAATTGAATAATTCCAATGCGTCTCACATGCAAATTATCATGCGATAAACCTCCACCAATAAGAGCAAGACACACTCTCTTGATGCATGTGACTACCTCTATTCAATTCTACTAAACTATCACTTCGAGAGTTGGCAGAAAATGGAACCACCAGTTTTTAGTGGGGAGTAAGAGTTGGAAGTGTGAGAGAAAATAAGTATCTATTGTAAATACATTTTCAGTATAGGAAAATTATAACTTCCGATATGGTACATTACCTCCGCTCACATTAACAGCTAGAATCCCACACTGAATAGATGGAGGGACTGATGCAAGAAAAAGAAAGAAGCATCCTTCTCAAGGGTTCCACACAAACCAGTGGATAGGAAGAAAGATAAAAGATAAATAATAATGAAAATCAAATAGACATGATTGTATAAAATTAAGGAAGTGTGTAGTGACAGTAACATGTGTATGAGATGTGATGTATGGAAGAAAAAACAATATAGTTAAACTAATGAATGATATACCAGAAAGATGAATTACAGATAATCCTAAAACAACAAAGACCATGGTAAGCCTATGAGCATTAACCAATCTAATTAAACTTGTGTTATGGAACCCAAGTAACTACAGATAATAATATTAACAATAAACTTACACAGGCCTGAGAAGTTAAACTTCATAAAAGTTGTTTTGGTTTTAATAAAACATTTTCCACAATTCAAAAATAATATTCATTTTTTTCCATCATATAAAAATATTTCAGAAATTGTGAAGAAAAAAAAACTGTTACTGAGATGAAATTTACCATAAATATAACAGAATATGTTTGGATCATTTACACAGCCTCTTGTTGCCATAGCAATGAATAAATAATATTGAAAAGAAAAAATAATGTCAAAGTGCACACAGAAACAAATACTATCCATAAATGACATGTCATGCAGCCTGTTAACAGTTTATATACTAGTGGTGTGTTTCTTGTGGGTTCTAGAATGGTCAATAAGACTCTCACGTAGTGATTGGTCTATGGAAATATATAGTCAGTGGTTGTCAACATTTTAGGCATAATAAAATGTGACCTGATTTCAATAAAAATGATTCACTTGTGTAAAAGTACATATTGTAACTCAATCCCACAATGAGAAAAGTGGGTAAACAAGGCTGAACATATGGGTGTTGAGTGACTAGAGTGCAGCAGACTGTACTCAGTAAGTCAACTACATCCAAAACCTCCTCGCATGGTATCAACATCCATAAAAGGGTAGAATGAGGATCATACTGTCTTCACCTCAAACCCACAGAGAGTGGAATTGAGTACCACTCCAATTCCCAGGTATAACACAAGGATTAGCTCTGATCCGGGAATTTGAGATCAGGTATCGAAAGAATGTCTGTTGCATGCAATCAACTCCCTCAACCGTAAAACAGGCAGGGACTCTCCAAATGGCAATAACATCCTCATAAGAAGAGAGAATGACGGATAGCCAAGGATAGAACTAGAAAAATCCCACATACCACCATTGTGGCTCATAACACAGATAGAGGAAAGTGAGAGAGGAAGATAGAAAACTCAAAACCTGTATAAGGACTTATGTTGGTTGACTCACTCTAAATCCAAAACCTGCCTTCAGTGTACCGACATCCACGTGAGGGTAGGATGAGAGTTCCCAATTGAAGAGGTCAACTGCATTTTGACATCTCACTCCATTGTATTGATTATTGCAAAGTGGAGGATATGACATCATCTTCACCCACAGAACACCACCACCCTACTCTGTACTAAATGGTTATAGCCATCTTTGTGTGGAACACATTCAGGAGGGTGCCTCCACAGTCAACCACCCCAGCAGCTTGGGATTGATAAGGACTCCCATACTACACTAAAAGAAACTAGTGTTGAGAATACGTTGGAGTCCAGAAGAACATCATCACCTGAGACAGTGCAATGGGTGATCACGAAACCCTATTTTGTAAAGCAGATCATAACGATTTATTCAAGTGAGGTATGACAGGGATGGGCAGCTATTCCCTTCTGCTTTACCCATGAAATCCATGGGTGGTACAGTCTGGAATGGGCAAATTTATGAAGCAAAAATTGTGAGGTTATTTACCTACAAGTGATCTTGTGAAACACCCCATTTCAATGGTGAGCTTGATAAAGCTTGAGTCAACATGGTTTTAAAGTGCAGATTTAAAGTTGAAGAATAACTGTGAAAGATTTCTGTGAAGAGTCTCAGACAGGTGATGAATTGTGGAAAGAATTGTGGGAAAATTGGGCAAGAGATAAACCCACAGGCAATTCGAGGCTCACCCCAAACAGGTAAAACAGAACCCAACAGTTGCTGGTCAAGATAAGGACAGTCTGCATGATAAAAAGTGAGGGCAGACTGATCCGAAGCCCGTGGGGGACAAGGCATTCTAATGCCTTCGTGTAACTGAGAGGCGATTTGTTCAGCATGGACCCGACTATTAGGGAAAAGGGAAAAACTATACAGGGTTGGGAAGAATGTTCATACAGTAAGGAAGGACATGGGTCATACAAAATAGGAGCAAGGGATAAAACATCACATATTTGAGAAAAGAACTGTGGATGGCCTAAGTGAATCCTCAGTAAAGGAATGGGAAAACAAGACAAATTCAGAAGGAAACAGGCAATCAAAGTCCTCATCAGCCTGCACAGGTTCAACTTGTTCAAGAGGAAGTGTGGCAATGTCTGGAGATAGAGGTTGACCCATGTGACATTCAATCTCCCTGTGAATAAATGTAGAAAAATCTCTCATCGGGTTGTCTGCACCTGAAGCCTGTGATACAGGGCCTGTCGAGACCTGAAGTGGTGACATTGACTTTGGAAATCATGCTTCAATAGACAACAATAGTGAATGTTTTAAATAAAGGCGACTAGAAGTAAATAGAAGTAATGCAACATTCAACAAACTGGGGATGTTAAAAATTATAACCACTTTGAGAAATAACTATAGCTCAAACTTAAGGCAAGACAGAAAAAAAAGAAAGACATCTAAGTACAAAAGCTGCCAAACGAGAAGTGATAGTTTGGTAGAGGTGCATAGAGGGAGTCACATGCATCACGTAAGTATACTTTGCTCTTATTGGCAGAGAAGTGACACATGATGATTTACATGAAAGACACGTTGGAATCACTTGATTCCAATAAGAGGGAGCAGAAGGCCTGTGGCAAATGTAAAGAAAATGTTCGCATATAGAGGGCAGCAATGAATGAGAGTCGCTAATCTTGTGAGAAGAGGGAAGTACCATATTGGAAGTAGACTGTTTTTCTTCTTTACAAGTTAAGAATATTGTCAATTTTTTTAGCTTTTTGTTATTATATGCCAATGAAAACAGAACACAGAGGCTTCTGATTACTTTTTGAACTATCCTCAGGAGATATATCAAAGTTCAGAATATTCAATATTCAAAATTGATATCTATTATAGGTGAGAGAAATATAATTATGACGGATCTGTTACATATATAATTCCCATGTTGAATTACCAAATATATTTTTATTACCAAATCAAACCTACTTTGTTCGTTTATCAGACTGGCTAATATTTTTGTGATTACCTCTCTCCATTGTGATAAAATAGTGCTGATTATTGATTGGTTAGGAGTTAAGATGATATGTTTCTTCCATAACAAAAAAAAAAAAAAAAGATTTGCAGGTATGCTGCACTAAGTAGTATAGTTGAATTCAGTGTGTCACAGTGAAAAAAAGAAAGTTGAAACTTAAATTGGTTATAGAGGAATACAGAATTATTTTTTTCTTGCTTATTCAAACACAATACACATATTCAAACACAATGCCTTAAAAGCATTTTTACAAACTAATATTAAATGCATATATAATGAATGAATGACATTCTATATATATAGTTTTTGTATATCTTTAAGTCCAATGCAATTTTGATAACAAGTATAGGGGGAAAATTCTTATTATTATTATTACTCACACCGGCAGATATATTCTTAACATGTAGTTTTAACACATTATGGTTCTAAAGAATCTTAAGTTGATTTACTTAGGAATAGAAAATATTACACCAACAACCAATATTCAAATGTAGAAAAACACCAACCTGTGTCCAATATTGCCTGCATTGCCATGAAGGTAGAGTATTGTTGGAACCTGTCCAAATACAGAATGGTCCTGTTTTACTAGAAGTAAATTGATCTTAACCCCATCACCTGAACTAATATGGATATTTTCTCCTGACAAACCAAACATCGCTGGTGCTGGAACATAGAGTCTGGAATGTGGAGGTTGATCAGGATGATACAGCAGCCAGTCTCCAACTTGATATAATATTCCTAATTTGTCACATTTGTAACCAAAAAAGAAAATATTAATTTTCTACTTCTTTCTGAAAAAAAGAAATTTAAATCCCTCACAAATACATGTATAATGGAAGCAACATCTGAAAAACGTTAATCCATAAAGAATGTATAAAAATTTACAGTATTTACCTACTGTGTTTCTTAATTGCTTCTGGCATGTTCGCTGAATAAGGGTAACTTCAAGACAATGACCCACATCACATGCCTGAATAATCTTTTACAAAGATTTAGGCCATTTGTTCTCCATTTTCCTTTGCCTAGTAAAAAGCTTGATTTTTTATGTAATGGCCAAACCTGTGGAAAGGTTTTCTTCACAAATGTGATGTGTATATGGGATGTTTGTTTTAAATTCATGTATATTTATGAGATTGATAAATAAATGTGAATGACTACAGTTGCTGCCTTGGTTAACAGGTTGCAATGATGGATGGAAAGGTTAGCATGATGGACTGTTCTATCACTTTGCTCATGCTTTTGTTAATTAATTTGAAACTGTAAACAATTTTATGAGATATCTGGATAAGTGGTACTATATATACAATATATAAAAGGTTTCCTCCAAGAATTTCCAATGAAAAATCTTGTTCTATCTTCATTTTCTGCTGAAATAGAGGGTATCATTGCCCATTTTTAGTAACCATGAGCTATTTTCAGGCCAAAAGCATAAGTATAGATTGCTTGCAGCATATTTCTGTGTTTAGCAATAACATATTCTAAAATGAAATATCTTTAAAATCAATAACTAGAGTATGACACATGTACACATAAAGTATATGTTTTTAACTTTCATCTACATGTACAACTTTAACCAAAATCATCATATTTTTTTTTTAATGATATCAATATTTATTTCCTACTCGTAAGTAAGTCTCTTCATTATTTCCATATTTTGAGTGCTTTACTTAAGTAACTGTCTATACTTGCTTATCAATACACTTCGATATTTAGTTTTGTTTCATATAGTTTTATTGTCAAGGTCAAATTCATATCAAGTTTGAAATCATTAAATGTTTTATTCAACAAAAAAAAAGAAGTAGAGAAATTACATACAAGTAATTAAGTTTAAAATAAATGTGTTTTTATAATGTTTAACATTAAACTGAAGAAAAATGTAAATATTAAAAATGCGAGTAAAAGTGAGTAAGAGAAGGACTTCTCTATTCTTCAAAAATTACAATATAACAGTACTATGTATAATATTTGAGAATTTCTTGAATAAATAATTGTTCTTGTAGACCTAAAATCTTTTTTACATGATTACTTGGTTGGTCTGTTTCACAAAACCTGAAATTGGCCTGAGTATCACAATAACATTTGTTGCAATGAATTTCTTGTCTGAATTTGATCTTAAAGGATGTTATAAGGCAGTATTACAAATTATATGGCACATGAATGTACTTATACTTTTCTTAAGACTTTACCATTATAATAAAGCAGAAAACTGGTATTACATCATGCAAAGCCTTCCATTCTTCAGCACTTGTTAACATGTCAGGTCTCTTATATACATACACCTTACCTCATTAGTCTAAATCAAAAAGCTGAGGTTCACGGCAAGACTTACACCATTTTGTGTTCAAGGTTAACAGTACGGTCTTATAATAGTACATGTTCTCCTGACCACAAATGTATGTGTCAAACTAGATAGTGTCAAAAACCTAATCCACACTCTGCAACATATTAACTACTGTCAAATACACCCCTCTACCCACACATATACCAAAGAAGACTTGATAAATACACAGGGGCTACTGTGATCTTTGCCAAAATTGCATTTTGTGATTTTTTAAAATTTATTTCCAAAAATATCTAGCACATGGCTTTTTTTTTTATCAACATTTGATGTCAGCAAAATTTGAGCATCACTATTCCATTCACAACATGCCATCTGTTTACTGTACAGGTAAAATGACAGGCTCATAAATCTCCTGATATTACTCTGGATATATGCACATCACAAATACATTGTTCAAAGTTTGCTTCTGGTTTTGAAAACTAATGAAAGATTTATGAGGTAGGTGATTTTTCTGGTTCCAACTTTCTATGGTCCAGAGCAGTCCCTGAAATACATGATATTTTTATTATTTCTGGCACATGTGAAACTATAAAAACATCTACTGTTCTGCTTTAAAGAATGCCAAACTCTCACAAAACTTTGTAATACACACATTTAGTAACTGCTAAGTTTACTAAATGTACTGGATATCAGATACTTTTGAAAGTTTTTCAGATCTTTATCACCACAAGAAAGTTACCATGGGGTCATTCCTGATTTAAAGAGAATATGCTGGACCTCATCTGATTTTGAACAGAGACCAAAGATGTCTGAAAATCAACCCAGTACAAGTTCGATTTATCAAAAACTTGTTATGTACTGTCAAATATGAAAATGAAGTCTTAAAATAGCACTGTAAATCATGAATCTTAACATATGTCCACTTTTTAGCATCTAATTTAATGAATGTTTATTCCCATTTCATGTAAAGTTTGTTATGATTACACACAAAGAGTTTTTAGTACTTAATCTCTTCCTTCCAATTATAGAGTTCTATCACAATACATTTGTCAGTGCACAGTTCAGGTAGCATAGTGTCATCCCTAATTTTGAACCAATGACCACAAGGAGGTAACTGGTCAGCAGCAATCTACTGTTGTTTCTATTATATTTATTATTATTATTACATATCTTTTTTAAGACCCAGTTCTCAATGTAAATAAAAGAGTAATACATTTTTAATATAAAGAAGTGAAGGTCAAGACTGTTAATCACTGCAACACTAGAGCAACAGGGCAAATAAATACAAGCCCAGCCTAGCATCAATAACATGGTATATAATTGTAAACTATGAATACTGACTCAAGTTTCCGTCTTCTTAAAATAACACAAAATTAGCTAAAATATTTAAAAGAAAATATTAAAAATATTAAGAATGTATAATCTGCATGCTTTGATAAGCTTCTTTCATGTTCACAGCATGAGCAATAGGAATCAATGGCTTAGTGTTTCCACTGTGCAAAAGTACAGTTTTTAGACTAACTTTAGATGAGTCGATAAAAAGTTTTCATTCTTGAGGATGACGTTCAGTACCTAATTCTTCCATTAGTGCATCAACATTTGTACAGAAACATAAAGTATCTTACATGCTGTAGTGAGAAGCAAGACTTTGATGGCAACTCTTGCTCCTGGAGCTAATAAGCTCTGTTTCTGTAAACGAGAGCCAAGAAGTTGTACATGCTGGTTTGATAAAGACAAGTCATGAATCAGATCATTTAGCTCTTCTTGTGTGATCAGTTGTGGCAGTTTATGTTAAGGTACCACAGGAATAGAATTACTAGATGAAGAGGATGAAGATGATTCAGTGTCTTCTTCACAGGATATATCTTCTGTTTCCCAATTCACTGTGGATGTGGCACTGAAAGACCAACCCCATCTTATTCAACCACTGTGTCAAGCCAGATGTGCAAACTGTACAACACACATGTGGAGCCCAATGCTTTTCTTGTTCACCAATTTTACACCCAAAATAGTGGTAGTAAGCGATATTTTCCTTTTGTGTGATGTTTTTCCTTCATGAAACTGTAATACATTTTCCACCAATGTAGTAGAAACTGTTTGGATGATTTTTGCACTTTCAGACTTTACTTTAACTGGAGACAGCTAACATTTCAAATGATTTTATAAAGATATAAAAGAATTTATGTTTCCAGAATTAAAGTTTAAAAGATTTAAAAAACAAAGTTTTGTAGAATTTGATTATATCATGGGTATGATGCAAAGAAGATCAGAATTTGTTTTGATTTTGCACAGAGCAAGGCAAAGTAACCGAGTGAGTAACAAGCAACTGAGAGAGAGGCATCTGACTCTGCCTGTTTTATGCTCAGTCGACGTACTTCTCAAATGCTCTAGCAAACTGAATACACGAGGGTTTCATAATTCCCAGGAGGAGTAGGTAAGCATGGAAATGAAACAAATATGGTGCAATTCGCTACAATTATATTGAGAACAAATACCATGTATGAACAACATATTTGGGATTTTACACCAATACAATACAGTCAGTGTTTGACGTTATCATAAATGTATGCCTTTTATTCATTAAACTGTCCAAGTGTTCTTAATTTCACAGCATAAATCTATTGTACTGAGTTGATTACATATTATTTAACTGATAAAACATTGAGATATTACAATACGTCAAAATCTAGAGGTGATGTAAATTCTGACTACATTTTTGAAATCAGCACCATCAGATTACTTCAAATCACTTGAGTTTTCTCCAGTAGCAATTTTTTTTTTTGTCCAATGTAATTGAGAACAAAAGCTATAAGGGCTTAAATTAATACAGATACTTTTTATCTTTTTAATTTTAATAAATATAATTTAAGAAACAAATTTTTAAGACAGTAAGCCTACAAATAAGTATTTTGCTTAACAGTAATCCATCCTATCACTATTGTTCTATTTTTCTGTCTGTTGATATTTTGGCATTTAACAATAGGCTTAGTAATTTACTATCTGCTCAATGCAGATAACAAATGTAAGCCTAATGCAGTATAAAATTGCACAATCTAAGTAAATTGATCGAAGCTGATTATTATATATTCAAAATAACTTAAAATTAATCAGACTATTTGTAAAAAATTAAGAATAACATTAAATGGGCCTTAATTAAAAAACAAAATCCCCACATCTTATCTTTCAATATCTTTAATCTCCACAGTGTACAGTATCCTCTCCTCTTCATAAAGTTTGTATTGTTTTGGTAACCCGAGGCATAAGAAGCAGCTTCAAAAACTGAATCAAAATTTGGCTACATTTTAGTTACTGTCAAGGACCAACCTCCTCCAAAAAAAAAAAAAAAAGACTTGGTGAAAATGATATATATTTACTATTCTTTGCACATGTGAAACTATAAACTCATCTGTGCAAAGTTTGTATTGTTGCACATTTTGTTGCTGTGAGATATATTATT